ATTTTCCACATATCTGACATGGGTTACTTCTTTCTCTAAAAGCTCTACCTGAGCTAGCAGTAAAAGAATGGGACTGCTTAGTTTTCTGTGTAACTGCAGCAGAATCTTCCCTATCAGTATATCGAGAACTTGAGCCCTTGCCTTTCTTAGCTTGATGTGTAGAAGAAGACTTCTCAATCATTTTTCCTATTTGCACACTCTGCTCTGTTGCTAAAGTCTCCTCTTGAGCTCTTTCAATAGCCTTAGCTATGTTTATAACTTCTTGTAAGCTAGGCAAGTTTAAGGCCAACATCATTTATTTCAACTTAGGCCTCAAACCCTCAATAAAATAATCTCATCGAGCTTTATCATTAGGAACCAACTCAGTAGCATAACGAGTGAGCTTATTGTATTTGGCCTCATACTCATGCACCGCTCGATCGCCTTGTTTCAAGTTAAGAAACTTCAACAGCATTGATCTCATAAACTGCTCCCCGATATACTTGTTCTTGAACTCATCTTAAAATAACTGTCAGTTCACTTGTTCGGGCGACGCATACATCGTCGTATTTGTCCACCACACCCGAGTTGACCCTCGGAGTAATGATATAGCTCCACCCAAGTTTTCATGATCGGATCATTGTAGACTTTCTAACATCATCATAACATCGTTTAGCCATAAAAACGCGTCCATCGAACCTTCACCTTCTTCTCCCTTGAACTCAGGAGCTCCCAAACTTCTTAACTCCTTATGAATTAACATTCGCGGTACTGGAGGAGAAGGGGGAGGCGGAGGAGGTTGAAACCTTATCAAGATAGCATCGAGAGCTTGCATAAAAGCCCCGAACTCCAGAACAGACATACTTTGAGGTGTCGGTGCGCTGGCGTTCTCAGACGTAATCGGATGTTCACTATTTTCTTCATAACTTTCACTACCCGATCCATCTCTACTCTCTCATCCAATCGCTCTTCTCCAATTTGTAGAATCTGACATCTAGTATACCATTCATAAAGATAGTAATTACGTTAGTAAGGAGAGACATCTATCATATTCATTCCATACCCTATCAGTAACATTGACATCTTAGTGCCATTAAACTCTTTTTACATCAAAATACACTCGATTTTGGCTGAGAATCGGTTAAACTTATATCTCTGATACTAATAAATGTAATACTCATCTCCCGTATACTTTTTCGTACACGAGATATAGATTTCACATCATTTTTAAAATAGTTCTTCCTTTGAAAACTCGTAATATTTTGTTTCCTTTTATAAAACACTTTAATTAAAACTAATATAAAACATGCATTAAACTTACATAATAAAAAATATCATTTGAATATTTCATCATTTTACAAAATGGTAACTCAAATAGTTTTCAGAGCATTTTTCCTAAATATTTTACATGCCAACTAAATACATCAAAAAGTAGACATGTATGTCATATTGTTACTGACGAGGCAACCCTTGCTTTGATGTACGTTGATCTCCTTACTCCGCTTGTATTACGACCTACGCGTGAAATAAACACACGTTAAGTATTTACTTAGTAAGGCAAGACTAATAGTACAATGAACATATCATTTCCTTATTTCATATTGATCAAGTACCAATTCATTAATTCCAAGTTAATATCATTTCATTACGATGCACACGTAGTGCCTATGCAGTCATTATAAACTCATTATGAATTCTGTGGGTTGCACACATAGTGTCGAAACGGTTATTCATCAACATATGATAAATTTTATGTTGCACACTTAGTGACGAAACGGTTATTCATCAACATATGATGAATTTTATACTTTGCACACTTAGTGCCGAAACAATTATTCATTAACATATGATGAATTACGTGCTTTGCACACTTAGTGTCGAAATGATTATTCATCAACATATGATGAATTTTGTACTTTGCACACTTATTGCCGAAACGGTTATTCATCAACATATGATGAATTCTGTGAATTTCACACTTAGTACCGAAACGGTTATTCATCAACATATGATGAATTTCGTTAATTACACACTTAGTGTCAAAACGGTTATTCATCAACATATGATGAATTCCGTGAATTGCACACTTAGTGCCTAAACGGTTATTCATTAACATATGATGAATTTCGTGAATTGCACACTTAGTGTCTATTTGGTAATCACACACACATATTAAGCAATCATATATATATGACTAGTATAACATATAGTTACAGAATTAAATGCACTCACCTGGCTTTCCTCGCTACTGTATCCAAAATGTAAACTTGATTACTCAGGTACTCTACCTTTGCCCTTTGTTTTTATTATCTCGGGAGCTTGATTTCGATCTACTTAAGCATCCATTAAATTTATGTACAATATCAATGGTTAGTATATTTCCTAAAAATTTTACTTAAACAATACTCAAAAGTACATATTAGTTACTTTCTATATCAATCTAAGCCTATTTTTAACATTTCTGGCTCAATAGTATCGATACCCCCACCATGGTATCGATACTACTATACTATGGTACCGATACTCTTATACAATATTGATACTATTTTTACATTATGTTATCAATGGTATCGATACCTTCTTCACAGTATCGATACCCCTTTCGGTATCGATACCTCTTGAATGAGTAACCATATTACCCAGCTGTTCTTCCCATTTTAAGCCTATAGTATTGATACTGTTCTATCAATACCGATACACGTGCCTAGGTTTTCCAGTTTTTAACCTATTATTACATAAATGGGGTCAAATTTCATTACGTTTACACCCGTTAATACTATGAATTTACTTATTCATACCGACTTTCTTTCATTTAACTTCCTAAAACATCTAAAATATTCCAAGAACATTCAAATCTAAGAATCACACCACTTTTTCTAACTTGTTTTTAAACTCATCCAATTCTTCTAATCTCTTATTTATATATTTGACAAGTCAAATATACTAACAAACATCATTAAAAACTCATATTATAACATATCATTTCAAAACCCATTTTCTAAAATCTCTCTTATTTCCTCTATCTCATAGTTTTAATCCCATTTAATCCTTCCTTAAGCTTCTATCATACTTAAGGCTTCAATAACCAACCAAAAATGAAAGGATTAACTAGCCATTAGAAATCTCACCTTTGAGCTATGGGGGAGAGTATTTTCCGCGGGAAATGAGATAAAAGAGAGAGAGAGCTTTTATGACTTAGTTTTCCCCTTTCCTTTTTCCTTTAACACTATACCAAAGAAAATAAATTTTAAATTCATTTTCCTCTACAAGACCAAAATGCCCTCTATATTCATTTATCTATACAATTTAGTTCAAAACATTATTCCAAATCATTTTCTCATCTTTTAGCATTTATACAAATAAATCCCCAAATTTGAAATCTTTTATTAAAGTCCCTTATTCAATATTTGAGGCATTACAATATTATATTATATTATTACATTACATTACATTACATTACATTACATTACATTACATTACATTACATTACATTACATTACATTACATTACATTACATTACATTATAAAAAAAATAAAAAAAACGGATGAGTGAGAACTTACGTCTAGGCCAATTGAGAATATGACAACACTTAAATCACTAAAATAAATCTAATAGTTTATTTATAATTGATTTAAGATTATAATATTTTTAAACTAAATTTATTGTTTTCTTATGTTTTTTTGAATGATTATATATGAAATCATTAAAAATTAATATTCAAATTATAATATATATATATATATATATATATATATATATATATATAGTTAATGATGAAAAATATGTATTATATATTATAGTTAATATTCAAACTATAATCATAAGATTGTGAAATGTGCCACAACTTGATTGGAGAAATAAAATTATTAAATTAAATTTAAATTAGGAATTACTTAAAAATTAAGAATTAAAGTTAATCTTATGATCAAATTAATTAATTCTAAAATCTAGGGGATTTAATCTACAAATATAATACATGATTAGACAAATTAAAAACAAAATTAGGATCAAATTGCATTAAATGAAAATACAAGGAAATAAATCATACACATGTTGTAACCAAAATGGAAGAAAACAAAGCAGGGTTCCAACGCCTCTAACACGTAACTTTACAAGCACACATGCCCTAATTATATCAATTTTGTTAATTGTCGCGTAAAGACTTCCGTTAAGTGTTAACGGTAGGTGATATATTGAAACTATTTAAATAGTTTAGTGGTCATATTAACGTAAATTTGAAAATAGTGGTCATTTCGCGACCCAACCCATAGTTATGTGGTCATTTATGTGATTTACCCTAAAAAATATCATATCCTTATCTGCTATTAAAAAAATCAATCACGCCGTTTAATTAAAAATTTTAAATTAATTGAACTAAATATTTAATAAAATATATCGTTTAATATGCATAAAACTATTCATTTAACCATTTAACTATCGACGAATTTAATCAAATATAGTTTTTTTATTGAACCAATTTGGTCCAAATATGTTTTTTAAGTGATAGAGTAAATTACAAATTTCATCATTAAATTTAGCTCTTTTTTAATTTTACTCACTGAACTTTAAAAGTTTTTAATTTCCTCACTAAACTTAATATATTAGATTTTTTGGTCATTGAACTTCACTCTCTCTCCTATTTTGATCACTCCTCCATTAAATAGTTAATGACGTTAAAAACGACACCGTATTAAAAAAATTCACCAATGACATCGCTTTGCATCTATATAACAACCTATTTTAACTCTGTTAACTATTTAACGACTGAGTGACCAAAAAATCGAATGTATTAAATTCAATGAAGAAATTAAAAAGATTTTAAGTTTAGTGAGTGAAATATAAGAGAGAGTAAAATTCAGTTATCAAATTTATAATTTATCCTAAGTGATATTATTGGAACCACGATAATACGTCACTAAACATCGCATCCATTATATATTTTCACTTACACAGTAATAGTTGAAGCCTCTCTTGGATATTTTCATAAAGAAAAACAACCAAAGGTAAAAGGCGACGAAAATAAAACTAAGAATCTGCGTTTCGTCTTGCATGTTTGATCATGGAGGGTAACGACGTCGTTGCGCCGTTTGTTGCCAAAACTTATGAGATGGTTAATGATCAGATGACAGACGGTCTCATCACTTGGGGCAAAGCTAATAACAGTTTCTTGGTCATCGACCCTTTAGATTTCTCCAAGAAGATCTTGCCCTTTTACTTCAAAAACAGCAATTTTTCCAGCTTCGTTCGCCAGCTCAATACCTATGTATGTTCTAAATTTCGATCGAATACATGTATATTATATCGAATGCTTCTGAGCTGATGATTTGTTTGGTGATTAGGGTTTTCGGAAGGTGGATCCAGATACGTGGGAATTTGCAAATGAATGGTTTCTTCGAGGCCAAAAGCAGCTGTTGAAGAAAGTTGTGAGGAGAAAGCACGGGAAAAATCGATACATACAACTGAAAGCCGAGGATTTTGATGAAGATGACGATGTTTCAAGGGAAATATCGAGGCTGAAAGAGGAACAGAAGACTTTTGAACAAGAGCTGCAAGGGATGAACAGGCGGTTAGAGACGACGGAGGGACAGCCGCAACAGATGGTGGCGTTCCTTCACAAGGTCGCCCAAGATCCTGATCTCCTTTGCCGTATGAGGGTCGAAAAGGAGATGAACGGATTACTCGCGGCGGAGAAAAAGCGGCGCTTGAAGATGACGTCGCCGCCGTCGTATTATTCTCCGTCTGATTCTCCTTATTCAAGAGCGGCAGTTTCGAGCAATTCGGGGAAATCTGAAGATGAAGGATGGCATCCTGAATTAATTTCGCCATTAAAGTCGCCCGGGGATCGCAGTACTGTCATGAGCCAGTCGCCGCTCCTGGCACCGCTGTTGATTGAAAACGGCATGATGATGTCTTCGTCGGGGATGATTAGTATACCAGGGTATGGTGATACGAATGGGCCATTGGGTTATTTAGGAGAAATGACGGCGGCAGGGGTGGAGGCGCGTGTGCCACCGCCTTATCCATTTTCTCTATTAGGGGGTGGCTTTTAGTTGGTTGCTTCACGTGAAATATCTTGTATTCTACCTTTCTTATTGATTTTTCATTTTAGTTTTAGATTTTCCGCAATTTGTATTTGTTTTCATTTTTATATATAATTAAAAGTACTTAATTATAAGGTTAAAAACTTATATTTTATCATGCTTAATCACTGAAAAAAATGGTGGAAAATATTAATTATATATATTTTTTAAATATTACATAAACTTTATTTTATGAAATACTATTTTTTGTTTAATGCATTTACAATTAAAGAAAAATAATTACTTTAAAATAAGCATTGTTATAAGCACATGAAAATAATTGAAATCAGGCCCTCACAAATGTGAGTTGAGGTGTACCAAAAGTAATTTTAAAACATGTGTATTATTATTTAACAGTAAAGTTTTACAGTAAACTTAATCTACTTTCATATATTCTTAATTAATATTTAAATAAAAAATATCAAGATAAAAACACTATTGAGGTGTAAGTACTTCGTCAATATAAATATATATATATATATATATATATATATAATTATTTATAATTCAACTAAATCAAGTTATTAAAATACATTTTTCAGAAATTGATAAATAAATAAATAAGGTCAAATTATATCATTAGTCTATGTACTATATAAATTGTAAATTTAATTTATATATTTTCATTTATTAATTTATTAATTCATACATTTTTTAAATTCTAAATTTTTAGATTTGACTCAAATTATATATGAATAATATAATTAAATTATAAATACATAAAATGATGAAATTAAAGAAGAATAAATAAATTTATACCTTTTACATACTACATAAATTAATAATATAATTTAATTTAATATGTTTTACTGTTATATTTAAATTAAAATTAAAATTTTAAAAATATAAAAATTGAATGATCTATTGTAATTAAAATATAATATCTATTTAAAATATTTCTTGATCGTTGACAATGTATACACATCTACTTAAACTCAAGACGCCTAAGGGGAATAACACTTTATTTTATTACTAAAATCATTTAATGAGATAAAAATAATAAAAATTAAATCTATAATTGAAATATAATAAAAAAAATTACCCGAAAGTAAATTATGGGTTGTCCGTTCTAATATGTTAGTTTTGGTGAATGGTTATCGGGAGCATAGCCCAAATGTACTTTGTACTTTCAACACCTTAATTAACTGTATTGCAAGTAGAAACAGGTCTCAAAAGCTACGGGTAGTTGGTGTTCTCACCTTCGACAAGAACTAGGAACATTTAACGAATGATATGGCTGCGCGACCTTCAAAACACAATATATTTCTCCTATTTCAAAATTATACTCATGTGAATAAAAAGGAAAAATATTCACACACACAGTGTATATATATTGCCTCTATCCTGTTAAATTTGTCCATTCTAATTTATAAAATTATCCCATTCAAAATATTATATTAGAAAAGTCAATAAAAATATATATAAACTCCCTCTAGTTTATTAATTTTGATTTTTAAAATTATCTCATTTAAAACATTTTATTAGAAAAATCAATAAATAAAAAATTTATATTTACAGTTTTACCTTTTTATATCTCACTTTTTTACACATATCAAAATAAATCTATCAAACATTTTTAAGGATAATTTTATTATTTTCTTCATTTTATATAACTTAACATATAGTCAAACTTATCTTCTAAAACTTTATGGTTAGTAAACATAAGACAAAAATTATGCGATCAAGGGAGTACATCATTGAGAATAGGTAAAAAAGGTATGTGAGACCCTCATACTTTAAAAAATTATGTAAGACACATAAACTCTAAATGTATTTCTAATTCTATTTCACTAATTTTTTTTTTATAAAATTGAACTAAATAAATATTATAAATTCTTATTAACAATAAAAATTTAAAAGTATAAAATTAATTTATGTATAAATTATCATAAAATACAAATTCAAAAATATTAGAAAAATAATTATACAATTAAAAAGAGCATTTTAGTAAATATAACATGATAGAGGAAAATAAAATTCACTAAATATGAAATTCACGTGTTAAAGATTTTTTATTATCTCTATTTTTTAAATTTTTCAAAGAATAGAAAAATCCGTATTTATAAAATAAAATAAAATAAAATAAAACTTACAGTAAATTTGATATGTATGAACATAACAATATAATTATAGTGCTAAATAAAAAAAATCACATTAGAGTTTATCTCTAAATTGAATAAATCACTTAACAATAACATTTTCAATCACTCTGGTTATATATAATCTTCTAGCAATAAAATTTTTATTTTTAATATTTTTATATTAAAGTTTTTTTTTTCTATATTTGTATGGTTTAAATTAGAAATAAAAATTTAAAATTTAAAATATTTTTAATGAAAAAAATAAGTAAAAATAAGTTAGTTACCAGTTGATTAAAAAACTAATTTAATTTATCTGTCACATTATTAATCACATCACCAGTTACCGTGAATTGTCATGTCAACACCATAAAATGCTATGTGAGCACCGTAACATTTTCGATAGAAACTGTTGGTCAAAGGTTTTAACTACATTATATCTATTTTCTAAGTTTAAGAGTCTTGTTAAATATAAAAAAAATATGAATGACACATTAGTTTTTTTTAAACGAGGGCCTCACATGCTCCTCTACCTTAAAAATATTAAGAAAACTTGTATCAAATTATTATTATTTAACTAAAATGAATTAAAAGATAAAGAGGAAAAAGAAACATTTTGCGAACAAACGAAAATAATCAATCAATAATTTATTTATTTTTCTTTGACAAAATAAAAATCAATTTATTAAATACGAAAGTCCAAAAATAATCACACTTTGACACGTGACGGGCAGGGTAGGTGCGGGTAGTTCTGCGGTACGGCGCCTAAAAAACGGCTAATATACGGCGTGACCGGTTAAACAAGTGACCGGTTAAAATTTAGACCGGATATGTTATATTATTTAACCGGAAATATTATAAAGCACAATAACATACTAAGTAGCGCTTATATAATGTAATAGGTAGAGCTTATATTGACCTATTTTATAAGTAAACCGATATATTTATACCGATAGCATTGCAAATTTACCTATTACATTATAATATGTTGAAAGTGTCTATACTTTTTTATAAAAAAGATCGATACTTTTTTTAAAGTTATGTAATTTATGTTTCAATTTTTTAATAGTGTTTCATGTTTTCCACCTACAATATTAATTTAATAATTTCATTTGCACAAAAAAATTATTTGATTGTTTTGATATTTTATAAAATAATATTTAGAATTTAAATTTAACAATATTAACCAAAGATAATAATAAATATGTAATATATATGTTTATTGTTTTTAATTTAATGATAATATATAAACATAAAAAATAAATCATTAGATACATATAATTACTAAATTGATATCTTAAAACTCACTCAAAAGATAACCTTAAATTAATGTTTTCCACAGTGAAATAAGTATGGACACTTTTATAAAAATGATAGATATTTTACAATATAAGCACTACCTATTACATTATATAAAAGCTACCTATTACATTGTATAAGCGTTACCTATTACATCATATTTTTACCTATTATATTGAAAGTGTTCATACTTTTTATAAAAAGAATCGATACTTTTTTTAAAGTTATGTAATTTATGTTTCAATTTTTTTTAATAGTGTTTCATGTTTTCCACCTACAATATTAATTTAATAATTTCATTTGCACAAAAAATTATTTGATTGTTTTGATATTTTATAAAATAATATTTAGAATTTAAATTTAACAATATTAACCAAAGATAATAATAAATATGTAATATATATGTTTATTGTTTTTAATTTAATGATAATATATACCGTAACATAAAAAATAAATCATTAGATACATATAATTACTAAATTGATATCTTAAAACTCACTCAAAAGATAACCATAAATTAATATTTTCCATAGTGAAATAAGTATGGACACTTTTATAAAAATGATAGATAATTTACAATATAAGCACTACCTATTACATTATATAAACGCTACCTATTACATTATATAAGTGCTACCTATTACATCATATTTTTACCTATTATATTGAAATTGTCCATACTTTTTATAAAAAGGATCGATACTTTTTTTAAAGTTATGTAATTTATGTTTCAATTTTTTTTAATAGTGTTTCATGTTTTCCACCTACAATATTAATTTAATAATTTCATTTGCACAAAAAATTATTTGATTGTTTTGATATTTTATAAAATAATATTTAGAATTTAAATTTAATAATATTAACCAAAGATAATAATAAATATGTAATATATATGTTTATTGTTTTTAATTTAATAATAATATATATCGTAACGTAAAAAATAAATCATTAGACGCCTATAATTACTAAATTAATATCTTAAAACTCACTCAAAAGATAACCTTAAATTAATGTTTTCTACAGTGAAATAAGTATGGACACTTTTATAAAAATGATAGATATTTTACAATATAAGCACTACCTATTACATTATATAAACGCTACCTATTACATTATATAAGCGCTACCTATTACATCATATTTTTACCTATTATATTGAAAGTGTTTATACTTTTTATAAAAATGATCGATACTTTTTTTAAAGTTATGTAATTTATGTTTCAATTTTTTTAATAGTGTTTCATATTTTCCACCTACAATATTAATTTAATAATTTCATTTGCACAAAAAATTATTTGATTGTTTTGATATTTTATAAAATAATATTTAGATTTTAAATTTAACAATATTAACCAAAGATAATAATAAATATGTAATATATATGTTTATTGTTTTTAATTTAATAATAATATATATCGTAACGTAAAAAATAAATCATTAGACGCCTATAATTACTAAATTAATATCTTAAAACTCACTCAAAAGATAACCTTAAATTAATGTTTTCCACAGTGAAATAAGTATGGACACTTTTATAAAAAGGATAGATACTTTACAATATAAGCACTACCTATTACATTATATAAACGCTACCTATTACATTATATAAGCGCTACCTATTACATCATATTTTTACCTATTATATTGAAAGTGTCCATACTTTTTATAAAAAGGATCGATACTTTTTTAAAGTTATGTAATTTATGTTTCAATTTTTTTTAATAGTG